TGTTTGTGAGACGTTCGTGAGATGTTCTTTAGATGTTTGTGAGACATTTGAGATGTTTGTGAGATGTTCGTGAGATGTTCTTTAGATGTTTGCGAGATGTTTGTGAGACGTTCGTGAGATGTTCTTTAGATGTTTGTGAGACATTTGAGATGTTTGTGAGATGTTCGTGAGATGTTCTTTAGATGTTTGCGAGACGTTTGTGAGATGTTCACTAGATGTTCTTTAGATGTTTGTGAGACGTTTGTGAGATGTTCACTGATGTTCTTTAGATGTTTGTGAGACGCTTGTGAGACGCTTGTGAGACGTTTGTGAGATGTTCGTGAGATGTTCTTTAGATGTTTGCGAGACATTTGCGAGATGTTCGCGAGATGTTTGTGAGATGTTCGTGAGATGTTCTCTAGATGTTCTTTATATGCTTGCGAGACGATTGTGAGACGTTCTTGAGATGTCCGTGAGTCGTTCAGATGATTGTCATGTACGCTGTTTAACTGTGTGACGTGTGGTTTGTCAGGCTGAAGACGGCGAGCATGTGATGACAGTGGAAGAGATTGAAGAGGCTGCTCAGATCTGGTCTGAAGGACTCAAAGGTTCTCCTGCAGTCACAGAGAGGAAACACCCAGTGTACGTCCTCATATAACCTCATTACTGCACATGAAAGCCCTGTCAGCTGGTGTTCACTCAGTGACGTTACTGTGTTTTTCTCAGTCTCCCTCAGGAAGGAAAGAGAAACGTGCTGCTCACCAGCGCTCTGCCATACGTCAACAACGTGCCGCACCTGGGAAACATCATCGGCTGTGTGCTCAGCGCTGACGTGTTCGCCAGGTAGCGCCGCTTTCGGATTCATCAGTCACTTATTTAACCCTCATAATGCATTTGGGTCCGTTATGTCCCGGAAGAGATATGTAAACATTTCTAAAAGGAAAAAAAAGTCAGTAGTTTTAGTACGAAACTTTGCAAATGCTTTCATTTTTTATTTTTTCAGATGTTTTACAATAATTTCTTAATATAGAGATATAATATTTAAAAAATGTTTGGGTCGTTTTTAACCCATTAAGTGTCAAAAATACTTTCTGTAGAATAATCTTTAAAGTTAAATTAGTGTCAAAAAAACTTTTGTGAAATATATTTGGCCTTTTCCCCATATCTCACACTTTTGGGGCTGAATTTTTGTTGATAAATGTTGATAAACATGAATATGTATGCTAATGACAAAACATTTGCAGTTTGAAAAATTGAGCTTTTTATGGTTTATGCAGGTGAAATGAATTTTAGTTTAAAAACATTTCAGAGTAATATTTATTTAGTTTTGATGTTTGTTTGTTTTTGTTAGAAATAAATATGTAGGTTTTATAAATTTGGACTCTTTTTGAGCGATCATGAGTTATGCATTTTATGAAAGTATTAATTAATTAAATTCCATTGATTCCAAAATGGTTAATATGGGTAATTTTTAGATTATATGTTTTTATAAATTTCATACAATGATATGATCAAATAAGATTTTTCATCATCAATATTGATATATATACATATTTTTTTTTCATGTGTAATTTCAAGAATTTCTCAATTGTTTAATTAATTAAAAAGGGGGTAAATGCAGTAATAACATGGTAACATTCCAAACTTAGAATGTTTACACATTTTCTCATTAATGAGAAGTTACTGATCAGATACAATATGGTTTTAGTTGAAAAAATTAAGCTATGACTGTTTAATAAAATAATAATTTTTACATGGGTCAAAGACGAAAAAGGGTTTAAGCATAAAAACAATAAGTGTAATACTGCTATAAATTGCCCAAAAAATTTAAAGTTTTCTGTTTAATTTAATTGCAATTTTGTTTTTGTTTTTCCGAGCAAAAAAATAAATATCATACATTTTCCACTGATTTATAGAAGAGACCCATTAAAATGTCATTCAGTGTAACAATCTTGTCAGGCATATTTACAACAAAAATCAATTTATGACATATTAAAAGACTAATTACTTTCACCCCTAATACTAATTAGTTGTAATTTTACATTTTTAAAATTTGCCACTATCCTAGGTTTTGCCCATTTTTATCAGTAAGAATTTTTTACTCATTTAAAACCCAATAAAATTTAATATGCTCACTTATTCTTTTATATATTTTAATATGTACAAGTCAGAATAAGCATGTTGTTTGAATTTCTATATTGTGTTACACTGAATTAGGGCTGCACAATTAATCGAATTTCTAATCGCAGTTAAAATTATGGATGCCACAATTACATAATCGTTCAAAGCGGCAATTAATCATTCAAAGTCCACTTAATGTTATTTTGCATGCTTAAGATGTGTTTTTTTCTTTCTACATGTTATCTTAAGGGTTTTTCCATTGTTTTAGTTTTAGTATAGCATTATAATACCATTCATATTTTTACTTTTTTTATGTTTTAAAGAAGAAAACAATCCGATGTATATTTGACATTTGAGGCTTAATACTGTAGAAAAGCACTAAAGGTTTTTCAGTTAGTGTTTTCAGCTTGTTTACTTTCATATAAAAATACGGCATGCAGTTGCATCAAACAATGGTATAAACATCATTCAATGTAAATTGCGATAATCGTAATTAATAATCGCAATTACAATTTCAAGGGAATAATCGACAATTATGATTTTTGTCATAATCGTGCAGCCCTAATGACAATGTAACATTTTATTCTCCAAAAACGTATTTGAAACCTTAAAAGTAGACACTTTACTTACATTTAATGTGCTTTCTATGGACATAAAATCAGTTTTGTAAATTTCTTTTGATGCGGACATCTTAACGTCTTTGACTTGCATATAAACGCTCCTTTCTCTGCAGATACGGTCGTTTGCGCGGCTGGAATCTGCTGTTCATCTGCGGTACGGATGAGTACGGGACGGCGACGGAGAACAAGGCTCGTGAGGAGGGTTTGACGCCGCAGGAGATCTGCGACAAATATCACGCCGTCCACGCCGACATCTACCAGTGGTTCCAGATCGACTTCGATTTCTTCGGTCGCACCACCACTGAACGGCAGACTGAGTAAGCACAGGCCTTACATTAACATCAGTTTCAACGGATGCATTTTTAGTGTTTATTTATGTTTTGAAACTGAAATTAAAACCATAAAACTTGCTTGAAATAAATTAAATGTTAACTGAAATGGGAGGGGGGGGTGTTTATTTGTATTTAATTTCACGTATTAATTTAGTTTAACTTGATGTGCAAAAAAAAGTAAAGCTGAAATAAATAATAATAAAAACTGGACATAAAAAGACACGACAAACAATTACTCTTTTAGTTTATGTATTTGAAATTTTTTTAATTTTAAACTTATTTTTCTTTTCTCTCCTTTTTATGTTCTTTTATCTTAGCACCTCGATGATCTCGGGTTTATAAATAACGCTTTATAAATCAAATTTAAATTGAATTTACTTTATGATGTATTTTTTTACTTTTTCATTTGTTATTTTATCATCTTAAAATTGTACAGCACTTTAATAGTCTGTGGTTTTTAAAGTGCTTTAGAAATAAATTTTAAAATGTATTTAGTTTAATGTTTGACTATTTTCTTGTTTCTTTTTTATGTTATTTTATCATCTTAAATTTGCACGGCACTTTGGTGAACTGGGTTTTTTTAATTAATTTTGAATTTAATTTAATTTATGTATTTTTTTTTTATTAACATTTTCTTTTGTTTCTTACGTTATTTTATCATAAAATTGAACAGCACTTTAGTGCGCCGTTATTTTTAAGTACTTTACAAATAAACTGCATTGAATTGAATTTATTTTTTATTTTCTTTTGTTACTTTTATGTTATTTTGGTTATTTTGCAGTGGTTTTTAAAGTTTAAATAAATCTTGAATTTAATTTAATATGCCAATATCTCATTGTCATCACAGCAGAAACATTTTATTTTTTATTTATTTATTTTTAATAAATGTCATATGCATGAATTGATTGTTGTTGTTTTGTTTTTTACTTTATTATATAAAAGGATTCAGTGAAAGCCAACTTGTGATGGCATACAGAATTAAGTGATTTTGGATGTTAAAGTATATATTCAAAATGTTTTAACTCTCATAAACGAAGGCTGTGAAGCTGCATGTTTATTATGTAATTATTTACATTATTTTTCACTTCTCCAGTCTGGAGATTCGGGCACAATATAATTAGGGCTAAAGGTGTCCAGAAACGATCTGCAGGTTTGAAACAGTGAATGATTGTCTGTGGTCCTCAGGATCGCTCAGGACATCTTCTGGCGTCTGCATGGGCGGGGTTTTCTGCTGGAGGACACGGTCGAGCAGCTGCGCTGTGAAAGCTGTCAGCGCTTTTTGGCCGATCGCTTCGTGGAGGGCGAGTGCCCTCACTGCCGTTACCCAGAAGCCCGCGGGGACCAGTGTGACAAATGCGGCCGTCTGATCAACGCTGTGGAGCTCAGGGTACGGTTCGAGACTGTCACGTCCCTCAGGGGCCGCTCACTGAACACAGACGTCTTGAGATGCATTTGGAAAAGCATAGAATTAGGGCTGGGCGATGTGACAAAACCGCATTTTCAGACCGATTCTCGATTTTTAACTTGAAAATGTAACTACAACATGATTCAAGTAACTTTTTCTTTATTAAACCTCTAGTTAAAGAAAGTTCTATTCCAAGTGCAGCACACATGAAGTTGTCAACATGATGTAAATGTTAATCAAATCACTTGTTAAATATCTTTGGAGAAAAGATGCATGAACTACATCTACATCTTGTACAAACGTGTCTTATACATATGTGACTCTGGAGCACAAAACCTTCCTAAAAGTCTTAAAGGGTTAGTTCACCCAAAAATGAATATTAGCCCATGGGGTATATTTGTAGCAATAGCCAACAATACATTGTATGGGTCAAAATTATACATTTTTCTTTTATGCCAAAAATCATTAGGATATTAAGTAAAGATCATGTTCCATGAAGATATTTTGTAAATGTCCTACCGTAAATATATCAAAACTTAATTTTTGATTAGTAATATGCATTGCTAAGAACTTCATTTGGACAACTTTAAAGATGATTTTCTCAATATTTAGATTTTTTTGCACCCTCAGATTCCAGATTTTCAAATAGTTGTATCTCAGCCAAATATCGTTCGATCATAACAAATTTGTCTCTCCCGTAGAATCCGCAGTGTAAGGTGTGCAAGGAGACGCCGGTGATCCGCTCCTCTAAACACCTGTTTCTGAACCTGCCGAAGGTAATAAACACACCTGTATGATGTGAATGTTGATCTGTTGTCTTCATGTGTGTGTGTGAGAGAGAGAGAGAGAGAGAGAGTGTGTGTGTG